TCCCCGCGCCTCCGGCCCGCCCGGCGGCTGCGGAGCGGCTTTGAGGCCTTGCTGTTCTGGAGCGTGTTTGTGGTGCCGGGCGGTTGAGCTGGGGCCAACGGCTGCCTTTTTGTTAAAGGAGCTTAAAGAAGTGTGGTCAGAGAGAGCTGTGCTGAAGTTGTCACATAGAGTCCTGGTGCAGAACAGGCTGACACTTGTTCAGGAAAAGAGTAGAAAGTGTTTGAGAGAAGTGTCTGGGGATAGATACTACGAAAAAAAAAATACAGAAAGGGTGGAGAAGGAACAGGCTGCCCGGGGGAATGGTGGAGTGGTGGAGTGGTGGAGTCGCCGTCCCTGGCAGCGTTCAAAAACCCTGTACATGAGGCACTCAGGGATATGGTTTAGCAGGCAGAGTGGTGATGGATTCACAGTTGAACTCAATCTTGAAAGTCTTTCCCAACCTTAATGATTCTGTGTTTCTGTAACTAACCGAACTAACAGAAGTGGAGGTATATAGATCATGGGCGGTTTTTGGTTTTTTTTTTTTTTTTTTGGCATTGTTAAAAGTAATTTTCACACAGTGGCAAGTTATCTCCCTTGTATTTGCGTACTTTATACATTTAAAGCTGCAGTTTCAAGATGAAGTTAGCGAACCCTTACATCCTGTTAAAACGTATTTTGCTTTATCCCACTGGCAGGTTGTCAGAACGGAACTGTATAGAGATTGTCACTAAACTGATTGCTGAGAAGCAGTTGGAAGTGGTGCACACGCTTGATGGAAAGGAGTATGTCACTCCGGCACAAATTAGTAAGGAGATTCGGGATGAGCTTCATGTCTGTGGTGGTAAGTGTGGCCTTTCCTTTCTTCCAGATTCAGAATTCAGTTTCAAAGACTACAGAAAGAGTTTGAAAGTTGTATTCAATAACTTTAATCTCCCAAAAGTGACTGTGTGCCTGTTGCTTTCATCTAAAAATGAATCTGCCTACTGTAATTTTAACTTTATTTCAATATTAGGTTTTTAGATAAACATATCAAGACATGATAATTCTTTCAACTTCACCTGTGCAGAAATATTTTTGAGAATTTGGACCCAAACGTTCAGCCTTGACTTAGAATTCTGAAGTCGTTCTCCTTTTCTATTGGTAGTAATAGTATGTTAAAATTACCATTGATGGATTCTGACATCTTTTATTATACCACAAAGTGGGTGGACATCTGCTTAGTCAGCTGCAACTTAGACTGCAGTTTAAAGTTTAAAAGTTGTTGACATTTGATAAGGTAGAAAGCTTTGGCGGACTCCATTGTGATACCCACAGACTTGTGATCAAAAGGTGATTAGCAACAAGGAGAAGACCTGTTGGAAGGGTGTTTTTTGTTTGGTTGGTTGACTTTGTTTCATCAACCGGGACACAGTTCAGATTGATATGGGATATCTCGCGCTGACTGCATATGTGCTTTTTCTGACATTTGGCAATATTAAGTTTGAATTGGTTTTATTTAACATGTATAGGAAAAAATAATGAAGAAGTATTTCCTGCACAACAGACTGTGCTCTGTTCTAAATCTGTTCAAATATACTTTTGTAACCTAAAAATGTTTTTGTTTGTTTGTTTGTTTGTTTTTTAAGGTCGAGTAAACATTGTTGACTTACAACAGGTAGGTATGGGAGAATAAATACATGTCTTTTTGTTTGTTTTACTATGCCGTGTATACTCTAAATATAGATCTTATCAGTTAGAGTCCAACTAAGTACCTTTTTTAAAAGAAAGGCAGAAGAGTTTATGAAAAGCTGGCAGCTCTTATGAGAATAACACAGATTACTTGAACAATCCATTTATTGATTTTAGAAATGTTGGTTACTGTTAATGGTTGCTGTGATTTAGACATAAACATAACCATTCTTATATGAAAGCTCTTATTTGCTTAATGGTGTTCTGGAATCTCTGAAATCACTGCTAGAAAGAACTTTTTTTTAAAAAGATTTTTCCTATGTTAGCTAAGGAGGGCAACTGGTTAATGGGAAATACGTATTTCTTAAATTTAAGCTGTATGTAGGAGCATGCGTAATTAGCTCTGCATGCCTTTCTGAGTCTTCCTCTTCCGTCATTACTCTCTTGTCTGCCATCACCTTTATCCTGCAGTAATGTTCTGGGGCTAATTTTCCTTTCTGTCTTTAGCCAAATTATTTGGAATCAGAAAACCTTTCTGTAAGACAATTTAATTATCTTATGCTCATAATTTTCTTCAAACTGTTATTTTATAAGCTTCTTCTAACGTTGTCACAGTTGCAGATAGAATAAAACATCGGTGTTTTAGTGGGAGAAAAAAAATCTAAGTCTCAGAATTACTGCACATTTATGCAATTCTAGGAAAAATAAACAATTTTCTTTGAGATATATGAATGTGCAAGTATAATATCTCAGTGTTTGAGAATTTCAATTTAAGATTATAATAAGATTGTGGATTGTTTGGGGGTTTTTCTTCTGGATGTGTATGTTTTTGGTGGTTTTGTTTGTTTTCTTTTTTTAGGTAATAAATGTGGACCTTCTGCACATTGAAAACAGAGCTAACGACATTGTTAAATCAGACAAAACAGTTCAGCTTGTGCTGGGACAGCTTATAGATGAGTGAGTACATTCAGAAGCAACATGTATAATTCCTACCTCTTCTGTTTCTCAAAATGCAGCTAACTGGCTGGCCAGCCATCATGCCTTCTCGTGCAAAATACATTTCCCTTGATTGGCACGAGGGCTGCTTGCTATGAGGGCTGGTTTTGCACATGGCCACTGAGGATCATCTCAGCTGAATATCCGGGGATCGATGGAACAAAAGCACCAAACGTCTCTGCCCGGTATCTTGTACTTAAGAAGCTTTCTATCCAGGAAGACCCAGGCTCTTTGTGTGCTGCACCTGCCTCACTGTCTCAGCTGCAGGCCAGCCTTCCCATTTTCACCCAACTCACCTCACAACCCCCAGTTACATAAAGTATTTCAAGACAGTCAGTGCACTGACAACCACAGAAATAATGCTTTTATGGGGTTGCCTCAGTTACTGACTGTTTTGCAGGATTTATCCTTAAAAGGAAGGTAAAGCTCCTAGGTCTTTTAAGATAATAAACAACAACTTTGCTCGCTAAAGACTGTTCTGAGTTTCATTGACATATTTCCTGGTCTTAGTCTGTGACGCTTTTATAAAAGCAAGTAAGTAACCAATTTTAAAATTAGCTACCTGGATAGCGGACTTAAAAAAAAAAAAAAAA